ATATATATATATATGTAAATTGTAAAAATTTAAATAAAAGAGAAAAACTAAATACGTAGCGTTTAAAGTGTTAAAGTGTACTGTACAGTGTTGTGGCTTGGCTCAATGTTTACAGTTCACGTTCGACATCACTTGTTCAATTGATTTATGTGTTTTGTTTGTGAAGAAATACCTGTACAGTATATGTAAATTGTAAAATTTTAAATAAGAGAGAAAAACAAAATAAGTAGCGTTTAAAGTGTACTGTACATTGTGGCTTGGTGCGGGGTTATGCAGTGTTTACAGTTCACGTTCGACATCACATGTTCAATTGATTTATGTGTTTTGTTTGTGAAGAATTGCAGAAATAATTTATGTAATATTTATGTATACAGTATACCTGTACAGTATATGTAAAATGTAAAATTTTAAATAAGAGAAAAACAAAATACATAGCGTTTTAGACCCGCGCGCTCTGTTTACTCCACACTTTGTTTGAAACACGTGAAGCTTTTAAGTGTCCTCAGTGAATTCTGATTACTGTTTCTCCAATTTTGTGACTATGGAAAAGAAGAATATCTCTGGGAAGCGTTCTGGTGATCGCATTTCCGGTGGTGATCGTAAAAGAAAGGCTATAACACTTGAAGAAAAGCTTGATGTTTCATGACTCCTCAACATCACCCTTCTCCCCCATCAAGTTATTATTCATATTTTCTCAAGGTAAAGTGTAACATTTACTGTATGATTTCATTATTAGATATGAATGTAACATTTATTTAGACTGTGCTATCCTTTGTGTTCGGCTAACTACGAATTTTTTTTTCGATTTGGAGTAATCTGCACCTAACCCTATTTTCTCCATAAGCCCTGTTATTTCTATTACACGAATTTCTATAACACGATGTTTTACAAGAACACTACTATCGCGTTATAGCAGAACTATCTGTACAGAGTACAACATTTAACCCTTCAATATATATGAGCAGTAAATAAGTGTTACTTTCATATTCTTATGTAGAGTAATGACGATATATTTTCACATAGTGTGCACTTACATACGAGCAGTCTCACTTTTTTTTTTACCATTAATGGTTAGCTACTTATGTTGTTCCATTTATTAACATTAAATAACATTACAGGTACTTCAAACAACCATATTCATTTTTTACATTAATTTTACTACAGCTAAACTCAGGGTCTTATTTTCTTCAGTTTTATATGTAGAACCAATCAGTTACTGGTTTCGTAAGCTTTAACATAAACAATGCCGGCAGCCGTCTCGTCTCCTCTAATATTCCACGTATTATTAATAAGTTGTATTGTTAATTTTGCACACACGTACATTAATTCAATAAAAACAAATTCAGAAACATTAATTAAAATATATATGAACAGTAAATAAGTGTTGCTTTCATATTCTTATGTAAAGTAATGACGATATGTTTTCACGTGTGTGCATGCGCACTTACATATGCGATCTCTCTTTTTCTTTACCATTATCGTTAGCTACTTCTATTGTTCCATTTATTAACATTAAATAACATTACTTAAAACAACCATATTAATTTTACTACAGCTACAACCAAGGTCTTATTTTCTTCAGTTTTATATGTAGAACCAGTCAGTCACTGGTTTTGTAATCAACGAAAACAATGCTGTGTCATTTCCTCGTGTGTTTTAATATTCTACGTATTATTAATGAATTGTATTGCTCATTTTGCACACATAAACATTAATTCAATAAAAAAGACATTCAGTAATAAACAATAATGAATCTTTTGTACATAAGAGAAATGACGCTGTTTACACGATTATGCACGTCGTCTGCACGTTGGCGGGCCGTTCAAACCCGTCGAAATTCAAGTTTCCGCCGTCAAAATTTTTATTTATTTATTTTTTGTGTTCCAATAAAATACGTTAAAAATTAAAAACTCACGAAATTTGAGAAGCTACTATACGACATTTAACCCTTCAATATGTCTTCAAAGAGACCATGATGCAGAGAAAGTGGTGCTAGTGCTTCCAGCCATAAGCACAAGTCACTATCTATCCAGGAAAAGGGTAAATTTCCATGGTCCGGCACCGGTCAGGTCCCGAGGTTGCCGGACTAGAGAGGTACAACCTGTAGTTGAAAATGCATGCACTATTTTCCATGGAAATAGCAATAATTTTCTGTATATGTAATGTATTTCATGGAGCAAAGGGAGGCTCACAAACGCAACTCCCAGATTTTATCTATTTCTTAAGGGGAAAATTGATCCGCTTAACGTTGTTTTGTATAATGTCGCATTTTCAGGAACGTAACCCCGACGTTAAGCGAGGACTTACAGTACTGCACTGTATATATTATTTTATCTTATTCCTCATAGGAGTTGGTAACTGGGAGAATTCAATTTCAGAGTTGATAACACTGGTCATAGCATCAGCTGTTATGGTGGTGGTGGTCATGGGCAATACAGGTTGGTGTGAATCCGGTGTCTTGCTACACATTATGTCTAGGAGTATGCCTAATATTTCTCAAAGGCTAGGGTCGCATTATACAAGAGATATGAAAAAAATCTGGCATTTTTATAAAAAAAATAGGGGTCGAACTATATGAGATTGGTTTATACACAAGTACAGTCTCCTCCTCAAATTACGACAACCCGGACATACAACCGCCATGGTGGTATAAAATATTTTTCACATTACGTATTTTCGAGTCCCACCGTTTGGTCGTAATGTGACCCCGTACGACAGCTTGGGCTGGGCCGCCTCGTGGTGTACAGCATCCACGCAGTAGCCCACTCAGTTGTTGTTTGGCCATCGTTGTTGTTGTTAGTGATCGCGCTGTGTACTGACAAAATTTTCGTTTGTAATTCCCTTTAAAATGGCTGGCAAGCATAAAAGTGAGAGTTTTCGTGGTGCTGAGAAGACAAAGAGACAGTCAATTACTTTTGAGATGAAAATGAAAATAATAATGCAATATGAAAATGGAAAAACGGTAACAACCATTTCACGCGACCTAGGCTTCTCTCACTCGACGATATCAACAATTTTGAAGTACAAGGCACGAATTCGTGAGGTAGTGAAAGGATCAGCACCTATAAAGGGAAAAATAATAACGAAAAAAAGACAAGGTCCTCTTCATGAGATGGAGAAATTAGTTGTGATGTGGATGGTAGATCAGCTGCAAAAGCATGTACCCTTAAGCCTTCTAACCATACAGGCAAAGGCAAGAAGCCTTTTCGGAAGTTTGAAAGAGCAGGCAGGAGATGAGTGCGACCAAAACTTCACAGCAAGTCATGGGTGGTTCCAAAGGTTTAAGAAACGTTACAGTTTGCACAGCATAAAGGTGAGTGGAGAGGCAGCAAGTGCTGATGTGGGTGCTGCTGAAGCTTTTAAGGAGGAGCTAGATCGTGTCATCGTGGAAGGAAATTATTTGCCTGAGCAAATATTTAATGTGATGAAACTGGCTTATTCTGGAAGCGCATGCCAGAACGGACATACATCCACAAAGAGGCAAAAAACATGCCGGGATTCAGGGCATTCAAAGACCGAATCACACTTCTGTTGGGGGGGAATGTAGCTGGTTTCAAGGTAAAACCCTTCATGATATACCATTCAGAGAACCCAAGGGCTTTTAAAAATGTCAGCAAGCACACAGCCAGTGTTTCATCGCAGAAATAAGAAAGCATGGATGACCCTAACACTGTTTGAGGATTGGTTCCTGAGTTGTTTCATTCCACGAGCCAAGGAGTATTGTCTGCAACAAGGGGTTGCCTTCAAGATTTTATTATTTTTAGATAATGCTCCGGGACACCCACCACACCTGGAAGGTAGTCTACCTTCCACCTAACACTATCTCTATCATCCAACCCATGGATCAAGGTGCTATTGCTGCTTTTAAAGCGTATTATGTTCATACGACCTTCACTAAGGCTATTGCTGCCACTGAAGGTGAGAAAACACTCGGAAAGTTTCGGAAGGACTACAACATTTTGCAATGTACAGAGAACATAGCTGCAGCATGGGATGAGGTTACAGGTCAGTGCATTAATGGAATATGGAAGAAGGTCCTGAAAAGATATGTGAACAGTTTCAAAGGATTTAATGAAGATGAAGCTGGAGTTAGAAATTGATAATGAAGATGTTGAGCAGTTGGTGGAAAGTGTAGCATAAGAGCTCAGTAACGAGGATCTTATTGAACTGGAGGCCCAGAAATTTGCAGAACAAGAAGAGAGACAAAATGTAAAAGAAGTACCTGCACCCCCCAAAAAGTTTTCAGTGAAACAAATGGCAGAGGCATTTGCTACTATGAATAAGGGGATGCAGATATTTGAATAAATGGATCAAAATGTTGAGCATTTTGCAAAAGTTGAGAGAATGATCCAAGATGCACTTGCTTGCTACAGGGAGATTTACAATGAAAAGAAAAGTAAAACTGTGCAGTCTAAATTGGACATTTTTTAAGAAGTCCCCCACTGCTGTCTCCTCACGCCCCATTACCATCAACAAGCAAGTATGTTAGCCTGTCTGAAGAAAGCAAACTTGATGACCCACCCAGCCCTGTCTCCTCCTCTGCTTCATCCAATTAATGTAGTCTCCATGCTTAATTAAAAAATTATTGAAGCCCTGTGTGCATTCAGCTGACTACATTAAAGGTAAGTGCACAGTAACACTTTATTAATTTTTCATTATTGATTACTTTTACTGTACTGTATTTCATTTTAGAATTTCTATGTATTATTTTCGCCTTTTCGACTTACGACCTGGTCGTCGGGACGGAACCCTGTTGTAAGTCGAGGAGAGACTGTATATAACATAACCATTAAATAATATTTACTGCTACTCTTTACAATAAAACCACAATAAACACAAAAAAAGAACTACAATTCTTTTGCCAAATATGTTAACTCTTACTTTTTTTCCTGATGCAACCAAGAAGTCATGCATACACTGGCATCTGAGACATAACAATGCCAATAAAATATATAAAAAAGTAATTTTGAAAATTCATAAAAAAAATTATGTAAACTTACCCTGTCCATCATTTCTGGTGTTACAACTGAAAAGGCAGCTCTCATGTAGTTGCAAGGTAAAGATGGATCACACATGAAGGCTTTGCCTGGGACGAGGATAACATTCTTCTGTAGAGCTCGCTCCATAATCATATCCCACGTGTCTGGTACTTTTGGCACCTGAAATCCACACATAGACTGACTCAACATTCTAAAGAATATTGCTGAACTATATTTATCAATATACCACAAGACCCTCCATTCTGGTAAACACTCACTCTGTAATCCCTCGTGCACCTTCAGATATTTTCTCACATGTATACTTAAGCCCTTTCAATACCACCTATCAAACTTACTTCCTTTACCATGCTATTCACTTTTCAATCTCTACATCTGATTCTCTGAAAATCTACCTCATCTCCTGTCACTACAGGCCATTATATCATTCTAGTTTTACAGACCAATTGCTTGTCTGAGACGACGGTTCCATGGAGAATCGTATCATCTCATTAGGATAACTCTTTGATTTTTTCTATGCAACAGAGCACAATTTATAATGCTGAAAGCCTTAGTGTATTATCTCTTTATAAGTTGTTAAGTTGTACTGGCATTCCAGTTCACTTAAATTAGGATGCACCCACCACTCTACTGTTACTCCCTATGTTTTATTTGCATACATTTCGGTAGGACAAGAGACAATTAAGTTTTCTCTAACTTATTTAGTTACTTCTTCCTAATTTTATGTATTAAAAAGTGCACTCTCATTTTAATCATTCATGTTTTGCCAAGGTTTGCTCTCATGAGTAGTCCATATACAGTAAAGCCTCCGATAATGATGGTTCGACCAACGACTATTCATATTTAAGATCCTAGTTAATTTAAGACCCAATTCAATTTACGTCATTATTTTAATCGTATTTTCGATGAAAATATAATAAAAATAATATAAAATTACATTTTCATATAAATAATAACTAAATCCCAATATGTATTATAAAAAACAAATACTGTAAAAAACAAAGGAGCGCCTTGCACAAAGAAGCTGCCGGGCTAATGAGTGGTAATGCGCATCGCCAGTAAACAACAGTCGGAGCTTGGTGGTCCCTTTGTTTTAATGCATCTGAACAGGAACAGGAGAAAAACTTTCTCAGGTTTCTTACGACATTTTTGAGTCCCTATTCAACATGAGCAAGAGAGCAAGTGATGGTAGTGCTGGTTCAAAAACTAAAAGAAAGTGTATAAGCTTAGCCGAAAACTTGATGTGTTAAAACGATGTGAAAAAGGTGAGAGGGGTGTGGATATTTCGCATGCTTCGGGGATGGCGGAATCAACAGTGAAAACTATCCGTAAAAATGGAGAAAAAATTAAAGAAAGTGCTCTGTCTACAACTCTGTTAAGTGCAAATAAAGTTTGCCAAAGCAGGACTGGGGGTTATGGATATCATATTCTAAAAGCTATTAAAAACATTGGAAAGTCATGGAAGAAAGTAACAGACGACAACATAAATGGTGTGTGGAGGAAATTGAGGCCGGAATATGTGTAAAAACCTTCAAAGGTTTTGAGGAAACCATGCCAAACATTCAAAGAAATATTGTTGTACTTGCCAAGCACATTGTAGGACTTGAAGAAGTTGATGAAGAAAATGTTCAGGAGCTGCTAAACAGTCACGGAGAAGACCTGACTAACAAAGAACTTATACAACTTGAAAAAGAACAACATGACCTGACCACAAACACACCAACAGAGAACCCTACCTCATCTCACACGTGTATGACTAAGCGTTTGGCAGAAGCATTTGCTCACATGGAGCAAGGTATGAACATATTTTCTGAATTGGATCCATTAACAGAACGAAGTATTAAAATAAACAGGGACGTGAAAAATGCATATGACCTACATAAAGATGTATAATGAGAATAAGAAAGCAACCGTGCAAGGTTCTTTAGAAAATTTTATTATTCGAAGGACTAACTAAACCATCAACTTCAGCTACACCATCTACTTCAGCTGTAGCATCAGCTACAGCTTCAGGAACAACATCAAATTCATAATAATAATAATAATAATAATAATAATAATAATAATAATACTGTAATAATAAAATAATAATAATACAAGATTGAAAAAAAGATCAAAAGTGAGAAACACGACCTGGACCTATGAATTATTATTATTATTGTATTATTATAATTATTATTATCATAATTTTTATTATATTTTCACCCCCCAGGCCCCAATGTGGGTCAGTGACTTGTGCCCGGGTGGGCTAAAAAAAAAAAAAAAAAAAAACTAACCATTCTGAAAACCGAAAAATTCCTAAATCCGAAATGCCTCTGACCCCAAGAATTTCGGATAAAGGATTGTCAACCTGTAACAGCTTCAGCAACAGCTTTGGCAACATTATGGAAAGCTACAGCTTCAGCCAGAGTTGAACCTGATGACTTAGCAACTTTGTCATCCGAGTAGAAACTCACACAACAACATTGGCTGTCCTTATGTTTTCAACTTTACCACCACTGGTGAGTAGCATTTTTGTTTTGAATTCAAAAGCATTAATTAAAACATATGTGAATAGTAATAAGTGTTGCTTTCATATTCTTATGTAGAGTAATGACAATATGTTTTCACATGTGCGCACTTTCATACGTTGGCGTTACAGTCTCACTTTTTTCTTTACCATTAGTGGTTAGCTACTTCTATTGTTACATTAAATAAAATTACTTAAAACATATATATTAATTTTTTTACATTAATTTTACTACAGCTACAACCAAACTTATTTTCTTCAGTTTTATATCTTACAAGAATTTCAGTAATGCAAGTTATATTTTCTTAAGTCAAAGCAGTGACATTTTGTGAGGGAAAAACTAAACTCCTTCATTTATAATCTTTGAGCAAGTTGATCTCCCCTCCTGGGAGAAGGGTCCAGTTGGGGGGAGAGTGGTAAAGGTGACTGCGACCCCCCCACCCCACACACAAAAGGGTTTCTCACTTCACTGTGTCTACTGTTTATTTGTTTTTCATTAATAAGTGCAGATGTTACTGTAATAATCTGTGTTTAATAATACCTGTACCATTAATATATAATACAGTATAGTACGATGTATATGCCTCAGGTAGTACAGGTTGGACCTCTCTAGTCCGGCATTCTGTGGTCCGGAAACTCCCGTGGTCTGGAACGATTTTAGTTTGTCCAATAAGTAGATAGATTTTTTTTTTTTTTTTTTTTACTTATCTGAATTAATATTACAGGAGTATCAAATTTTTTGCCCCTCAGGCCCAATGTGGGTCAGTGACCTATGCCGGATGGGCTAAAGCCCCCTTAAAAAAAAAAAAAAAAAAAAAAAAAAAAAAAAAAAGCGTAAGTGAGTCTCTCTCTCTCTCTCTCTCTCTCTCTCTCTCTCTCTCTCTCTCTCTCTCTCTCTCTCTCTCTCTCTCTCTCTCTCTCTCTCTCTCTCTCTCTCTCTCTCTCTCTCTCTCTCTCTCTCTCTCTCTCTCTCTCTCTCTCTCTCTCTCTCTCTCTCTCTCTCTCTCTCTCTCCCTCTCTCTCTCTCTCTCTCTCTCTCTCTCTCTCTCTCTCTCTCTCTCTCTCTCTCTCTCTCTCTCTCTCTCTCTCTCTCTCTCTCTCTCTCTCTCTCTCTCTCTCTCTCTCTCTCTCTCTCTCTCTCTCTCTCTCTCTCTCTCTCTCTCTCTCTCTCTCTCTCTCTCTCTCTCTCTCTCTCTCTCTCTCTCTCTCTCTCTCTCTCTCTCTCTCTCTCTCTCTCTCTCTCTCTCTCTCTCTCTCTCTCTCTCTCTCTCTCTCTCTCTCTCCTCTCTCTCTCTCTCTCTCTCTCTCTCTCTCTCTCTCTCTCTCTCTCTCTCTCTCTCTCTCTCTCTCTCTCTCTCTCTCTCTCTCTCTCTCTCTCTCTCTCTCTCTCTCTCTCTCTCTCTCTCTCTCTCTCTCTCTCTCTCTCTCTCTCTCTCTCTCTCTCTCTCTCTCTCTCTCTCTCTCTCTCTCTCTCTCTCTCTCTCTCTCTGCTTGTCTATACAGAGTACAACATTTAACCCTTCAATATATATGAGCAGTAAATAAGTGTTGCTTTCATATTCTTATGTAGAGTAATGACGATATGTTTTCACATGTGCGCACTTACATACGCTCAGTCTCACAATTTTTTTCACCATTAATGGTTAGCTACTTATATTCTTCCATTTATTAACATTAAATAACATTACAGGTACTTCAAACAACCATATTATTTTTTTACATTAATTTTACTACAGCTAAAATCAGGGTCGTATTTTCTTCAGTTTTATATGTAGAACCAATCAGTCACTGGTTTCGTAAGCTTTAACATAAATAATGCCGGCAGCCGTCTCGTCTCCTCTGATATTCCACGTATTATTAATAAATTGTATTGTTAATTTTGCACACACATACATTAATTCAATAAAAACAAATTCAGAAACATTAATTAAAATATATATGAACAGTAAATAAGTGTTGCTTTCATATTCTTATGTAAAGTAATGATGATATGTTTTCACGTGTGCGCATGCGCACTTACATACGCGATCTCTCTTTTTCTTTATCATTATCGTTAGCTACTTCTATTGTTCCATTTATTAACATTAAATAACATTACTTAAAACAACCATATTAATTTTACTACAGCTACAACCAAGGTCTTATTTTCTTCAGTTTTATATGTAGAACCAGTCAGTCACTGGCTTTGTAATCAACGAAAACAATGCTGTGTCATTTCCTCGTGTGTTTTAATATTCTAAGTAATATTAATGAATTGTATTGCTCATTTTGCACACAAACATTAATTCAATAAAAAAGACATTCAGTAATAAACAATAATGAATCTTTTGTACATAAGAGAAATGACGCGGGTTACACGATTATGCACGTCGTCTGCACGTTGGCGGGCCATTCAAACCCGTCGAAATTCAAGTTTCCGCCGTCAAAATTTTTATTTATTTATTTTTTTGTGTGCCAATAAAATACGTTAAGAATTAAAAACTCGCGAAATTTGAGAAGCTACTATACGACATTTAACCCTTCAATATGTCTTCAAAGAGACCATGATGCAGAGAAAGTGGTGCTAGTGCTTCCAAGCATAAGCACAAGTCACTATCTATCCAGGAAAAGGGTGAATTTCCATGGTCCGGCACCGGTCAGGTCCCGAGGATGC